TATATAATTGTCACATATGTTGTAACTTGTACGGTTTTTAACAAAGTTTATTAGAGTTAATCAGTGAATTGTGTTTACCTCCCACCACATAACTGTCACATACAGTATGTCGTAACATGTACGGTTTTTAACAAAGTTTACTAGAGTTAATCAGTGAATTGTGTTTACCTCCCACTATATAATTGTCACATATGTTGTAACTTGTACGGTTTTTAACAAAGTTTATCAGAGTTAATCAGTGAATTGTGTTTACCTCCCACATTATATGAACATGAAAAATCCAAGTTTAATCTTACTTAAAAACGACCTTTCAGTGGCTCAGCGGTAAGTCTTCAGGCTTACGAAACTAAAAATCGTATATCGATACCCATGATGGGCAGAGTCTCAAATAATCCTTTGTGTAGTTTCGTTATTGACAAAAACCAACTTAAAACACGAAAAAAAAAAGAAACACCAGAGCTTATTTGATACTGAAAGTCGTTCTCGGTTCAGTGTTATACCTGGTACACATTTTTTTACACTGATACATGTGCTGATTTGATAAAAAAAAATTATATGAATTTTTAGGTCTTTCAAAAATGTACGTCCCCCGGTGTGACAGTGGTAAGCCTTCGGATTTACAGTGTTAAAATCAGGGGTTCGATTCATATAGCCCGATGTGGCTTTGCTATAAGAAAACACAAACAAAAATGTATGTTTAAAAATTAAATTAATGAGACTAGGGAGGGTTGAGGGTGATCAATTCGCTCGATAGTGTATATGTTATATGGATTTTATTCCCGTTAATACAGGTGTCAAAATATATAAATCAATGTAGCGCAATCTACAATTGAGTTTCAATACCCGTGGTGGACATAGCACAGACAGTTCATTGTGTAGCTTTGTGTTTAACAACAAACAATCCATAATCTAGATAATTAATTGCCTAATTTTTCCCTTAATATTAGGTATTATATTTGAAATCAGGATCTTATAGTATTGCTGTTTGATACCTAGACGTTTATCAAAGGCAGTAAAAGTCATGAAATCGACGGAAGTTTCTTTGGTAGTCTAAGTCAAAGTCATGACATCGACGGAAGTTCCTTTGATATTCTAAGTCAAAGTCATGAAATCGACGGAAGTTCCTTTGATATTCTAAGTCAAAGTCATAACATCGACGGAAGTTTCTTTGGTAGTCTAAGTCAAAGTCATGAAATCGACGGAAGTTCCTTTGATATTCTAAGTCAAAGTCATGAAATCGACGGAAGTTTCTTTGGTATTCTAAGTTGTTTATTACCTCTGTTGTCATTCACTTTATTCCCCTCTCAGCTTCGAAGAAAAAACCCCTTGTTTCTACCCTGTTTTACAGAGGAATGCAACCAGGATTTTTCGGCATATTCTTGTTTCTATTTCAATGTTTGTTCAACCTTATTCCAGCTTAACATTGTTCGATACATCTTGTATAATTAAATGAATTGTCTTTAATAATGACAAGTTTCTATGAAAATTTAAGCCTTAAAAATAAGGCTTTCATATAACTGTACCTCAACAGAAAGGTTGTCATTATACCTGATAAAAATTAACACCTCCATAGTATTTATCTCTTGATACCTTTTAAACCAGACTCGAGACCGACTTGTAGCATCATCTCAGTCTCGTTCTCTGTGATTTTATTTAAACTTCAGCAAAATATAAACAGAAATCGTCTGTGGTTTGTGACGAAGAAATTCTTATTCTAACATGAAATACATTTTGTTCGTTTGTTGTAGTTTGTGCAAAGATACTCTAAAGCTATCTGCGCTAGCCGTCCCCAATTTAGAAGTGATAGACTAGAGGAAAAGTAACTAGTCAAAAACACCAACCGCCAGCTCTTGTGGTGCTCTTTATCAAAGAAAAATGGGATTGGTTGTCACATTATAACGCTCCCACGGCTGAAAGGGCGAACTTGTTCTGTGACGGAATTCGAACTTGCAATTTCAGAGCTGAGAGCCCTAAGTACCAGGCCATTGTGTTTTAAATGTTTGAATTAAAACAAGAGAACACAAATTTAAAACCGACGTTTTGGTGACGAACCAAACCCGAGAATCGAGACCGAAACGGATTTTTAATATTACCCCCAAAATGAAACAAAAACGTATAATAGAATTATATGTATCTTTTTAGCTTTTATTGTTCTTTTTTTTCAAGGTAAAAATCCTGTTTATTGGTTAATAAATAAAAATGAAAGTAAACTCCGCTCCCTTTATGTGGGAACAGGTTAATTACTATATTCAGATTATAGGAAGGTAGTGCGAACCTTACGTTTAAGTGTTTCCGGGTGTAATTAAAACAAAATGTTGCCATTATCTGTAATGAAATAATATGAAATCTCATTTATTGATAATTTGTAGAGAAATTTCACCGTGAACTTGGGGATAACTTTGCCATCTCTCATTATACAGGGTCTAATCCATAGTATTCCTTATTATGTTAGCGTTCCATAATCTTTAGAACACCTTACCTAGTTGTTAAGGGCTGGTCTACAATTGCGGAGGTTCAAAGTTTGAGCTTACGAAAGCCCGTTGATCACTGTTGAACGCTCTCCACTCTGGGCGCATTATAAAACTTACAGATAATCCTGTTATTCAGTTAAGAGTAAATATATGTGGCGGATTACCTCCCTCTGATCAACAATTCCAAATTAGGGACGGCTGTGCCTAAACCTTGTGGTCATTCGACCTAATCGTTTTTAGCTCATGTTTCGCATCAGTACGAAATTATCAAATTACCAGATTGACCAATGGTAAAAATAAAGAAAAACAATAAAACTTCTATAAACAAAACACCAATCGCACTTATAACACTTTTATAAACAAAACACCAATCATACTTATAACACTTTTATAAACAAAACACCAATCGTACTTATAACACTTTGATGCAAGAGCATATACAAGAAAACTTCTATAAACAAAACACCAATCGTATTTATAATACTTTTATAAACAAAACACCAATCGTATTTATAACACTTTTATAAACAAAACACCAATCATAATTATAACACTTTTATAAACAAAACACCAATCATAATTATAATACTTTTATAAACAAAACACCAATCGTATTTATAATACTTTTCTAAACAAAACACCAATCGTATTTATAACACTTTGCTGCAAGAACATAAACAAGAAAAGTTTCTGGCAAACAAGCCACTTTCTTACTAAGTAGAATTTTATGAGTTTCAAAGTGTCGTGCTTGCGTGCAGTTTTCAAACTCGAGTCAAACATTGAATTTCATAAATTATTCCACGCGTCATGCTTTCAGTTGTAATGTTCTTTTCAATGAATTCACAGTTTACGGACACTCAACGTAAACGCAAGTTAATTATATTTTGATTGGAGATATTCTAAACATTCGATCATTGATTGGAGATATTCTAAACTTTCGACCGGTTTAAAACCCAATTAAAACACAAATAATAAATAATCGGGTGAAAAAAAAATATTAATGTGGTCGTTAAAAAGTGAAGATAGATTAAATCTGTGTGGAAAAGAATTCTTAAATGAATTAACATACAGAGTTCTAATCCTTATATTAAAATATAAGCTTTAATCCCTGTGATAAAATGCATGAAAGCCAATATTAAAGAAAATTGTCGTATCAGAACACCAAAGCTTAACTAACTGTATTTAAGGCAATACATATATCAAATTTATCGTTTTAAAATAAGAGCTACTATTTAATGGTTCATTTGGTTGGGTTTATGCATTGCTGATGTAGTTTCGAAACAAAAAAAGTGAAAGGGGCTTAACAGATATAGTTTAAAATACGACTTTCCATTCCATAGTGTTTTAAAACTCCGTTTAGTTTCCAATTTTAACCACGATGTAAGTGCATTCATTTTTCTACCAAACAAAATATCAGTTTTGGGAAACTTGAATTTTAAGCATTTTCCAATTGTTCAATAATCACCACCAATGTTGGTTTCCAGCAATGAAATGGGCTTGAACTCCAATGAAAAAACAGCACGAAAGGTAAACTTAATTTACAGTACTGTATCTAGTTTTAACAGCTTCAGAGACCCAACACAAAAGGTAAACTTAATATACAGTAGTGTATCTAGTTTTAACAGCTTCAGAGACCCAACACAAAAGGTAAACTTAATTTACAGCATTGTATCTACTTTTATCATCTTCAGAGACCCAACACAAAAGGTAAACTTAATATACAGTAGTGTATCTAGTTTTAACAGCTTCAGAGACCCAACACTAAAGGTAAACTTAATTTACAGCATTGTATCTACTTTTATCATCTTCAGAGACCCAACACAAAAGGTAAACTTAATTTACAGCATTGTATCTACTTTTAACAGCTTCAGAGACCCAACACGAAGGTAAACTTAATTTACAGTACTGTATCTGGTTTTGAGAGCTTCAGAGACCCAACACAAAAGGTAAACTTAATTTACAGGAGTGTATCTACTTTTAACAGCTTCAGAGACCCAACACAAAAGGTAAACTTAATTTACAGTAGTGTATCTACTTTTAATAACTTCAGAGATCCAACACAAAAGGTAAACTTAATTTACAGCATTGTATCTAGTTTTGAGAGCTTTAAAGACCCAATACGACGGGTAAACTCATTTTACATTAGTGGAAGTAGTTTTAATATACTTAGATACACAACACAAAAGGTAAACTTCATTAACAACAATGTGAGTAATTTAATATTTTCCGGGATCCAACACGAAAGATATATTGAGTCTCCAAGAACGTACTCAATTTGATGTTTAAAGGCTCAATATATTTATTTATATAAAGAGTTATAGCACAACATATCACAGCAATTTATTTAATTTTAAACAACTCTATATTTCTTGAAAGTAAAGTGTATTTTATTTCAGTAAATTATTAAATATTTTCTACATACTTGAAATCGACGTTAGAAATATTATCTCGTTTTGTTCATGACATCTTGGAACAATTATATGTATTACGTCAGCTAATGGAGATAAACCTATAAAAGTAGTTATGGTTTAACACAGTCTCCCTAAGAACAACACAGATTTTCGTTCTTGTTGTTTTAAGGACCAGATATTAACATCACTGTTAACAAATGAACGTTTTTAAATAGAGCCCAGGAACGCAGGAGCCACAAAAAAACCATTCGATTGTTTTATATTTATTATCAATCACTAAAAAAATTAGATAAGCTTGTTATCTTTCTTATAACATCTGTCTCTCTGAAAATGATCTTTCAAGGACTTTTAAAAGATTGTACAAATGTTAGTAGTCCCTCGTATGTAATATATTTGGTTTTATTTTGGTTTCCAAAACTTTCCAGAGATCTTAGCAAGTTGATAATTGTCAACAAGCCAGAGTTGCGGATATCTATTTGAATGTTTAAGAATAATTTTTTGTTCAGATTATATTTTTAAGATTATTTGTTTTGAATCTGAGAAACATGTAACCTGCAATAAATGAATGACTTAACATCAATCAAGAAACACCACTTGCACTGATTATGCTAGTTTTGTCTGAATTAATAAACACCACTTGCACTGATTATGCTAGTTTTGTCTGAATTAATAAACACCACTTGCACTGATTACGCAAGTTCTGTCTGAATCAACAAACATCACTTGCACTAATTATGCTAGTTTTGTCTGAATTAATAAACATTACTTGCACTAATTATGTTAGTTTTCTCTGAATCAATAAACATCACTTGCACTAATTATGCTAGTTTTGTCTGAATTAATAAACATTACTTGCACTAATTATGCTAGTTTTCTCTGAATCAATAAACATTACTTGCACTGATTATGCTAGTTTTGTCTGAATTAATAAACATCACTTGCATTTATTACGCTAGCTTCATGTTGCACACTAACATCAACAATTGTTGTTAAGTTCAGTGAAACACCGAAACCGTAGATGAAAACATATACAAATTATGAATAATAAATAGTATTTTATTTTAGACGTTCATGTTAAAATGTGAAAAAAAAAGAATTAATTTAAATTATACCTAAGAAAAATAGCCTGTAATACTAAAAGTGGATGTATCGATCCGGTTCTAGCCTATTTTCTTTTGATACGGACTTATTTGTCTAAAAACAATACAGGTATAGTTCACGAGGAAGAAATATATTCGTCTTCTTTATTTTTATATGAACATGAAAAATCCAAGTTTAATCTTACTTAAAATACGACCTTTCAGTGGCTCAGCGGGAAGTCTTCAGGCTTACGAAACTAAAAATCGGATATCGTGGTCGAAAGTTTAGAATATCTCCAATCAATGGTCGAAAGTTGAGAATATCTCCAATCAATGGTCGAAAGTTTAGAATATCTCCAATCAATGGTCGAAAGTTGAGAATATCTCCAATCACCGGTTGAAAGTTGAAAATATCTCCAATCACCGGTTGAAAGTTGAAAATATCTCTAATCACCGGTTGAAAGTTTAGAATATCTCCAATCACCGGTTGAAAGTTGAGAATATCTCCAATCACCGGTTGAAAGTTGAGAATATCTCCAATCACCGGTTGAAAGTTGAGAATATCTCCAATCACCGGTTGAAAGTTGAAAATATCTCTA